AATAAATCATTTCATAGTATGCGTGATCATCCAATGCATGGTGTACCAATGCTTGGTGGTATGTGGGGTTTTCGACCATCACTTAATCGAACTATATCTCGTGTAATACATAATGAAATTCACAATCGAGAATTAATTAAACGTTATGGTGATAGGGGTGATCAAACTTTTCTTAGTTCTCATGTTTGGCCACTTGCAAAAGCAAGTGTTATTGTGCATGATAGTTTTCTTTGTAAACATAGCTTTGGACATAAATCAGAAGCATTTCCAACACAACGACGGTCAGCTAATGAAACAAATTGTTTTGTGGGTTGTGTACGACCATGTTGTGGAAGTGGAAAAATGCCATTTGGTCATTGTCCAAAAGAATGTCGACCGAAAGATCACCCTGAGTGGATATATTGTTAGTCTTTTGTTTAGTTTCAATGTATTCAGTGTTTTATTTATTTTTCTTTATAATAAATCTTCCAGTATACATATGATGACTATTGATATATTGTACTCTCTCTCAATATATAGCGAAAGTTTTGTTAGATCTTGAAAGTATAGATTATGCTTGATATTATCCAATTCTGGATAATTATACTTATTTACTACAAGTTTTTACTATTTATATATTGAGTGATGGTATGAATAATGAAGGATAAAAAATGAGATTGTTTGTCAATACCTACTGAAGAGTAATTGTATGAACAATAAAATCCATCGAATAGAATAATTTTTGATTCACCTCTCTTAAACATTTTGTTGTTGCAGTCTCAACTAATTCATTTATTTCGATATTCTATGTAAAATCATGCTATTCATACTTTCAATAAAGTTTGTTTCAATTTGATGCGAAATGTCATCCTAACTGTGTGAGATGTAGATCATTTGGAAGAGCGGAAAGATTTTTTCTTCAAAGAAAAACAAAACATAGATTTATCTATAATATCCTTCGACTGATTTTAGATACGTCGACGAAAACAATGTATGACATAACAGAAGAATAGTAAAAATGATTCTATAGTAAAGAAGAATAATATATCTTATTTGACTAGTCCACGAGGAAATCTCTTTTCTTTGTTTGTTTTCTGTCCTATAAATATAGTACTGAAATAGACGTGTTTTCATTGACCATTAATTTCATTTCAAATCGACCAAGTAAGTTTAGATTTGTTTGAATAAAAATGTTAAATAAATAAAATGAATTTATTTTTAGAATAATGACAAAAGCAATTCTTTTCGTTTTACTATTGATTGGTATTTATCAAATAAATGCATCAATTCCACTTTCAACATTGAAATCTGATGCAAAAGAATTAACATTTATATTCAAAACATATTTAAATATTCCAACCTTTGGAAAGTTTCATAAACAATATCGTGAAACTGCATGTAATTATATGAAAAAATGTTGTTCAAGTCTTCGACCAAGTTATTTTTCTATTCTTACTAATGGT